ATGAGTGAAGACTAAACATGCAGAATTCTTGTTCTCAAAGTATCGTAGTAGAAACTGGCCAAAGGAAACCTTCACCAACAGAGGAACACCTCACATTCCCTGTGTTTCTTGAGCTTATAAAGCTTAATTGGATGGTTTGGGGAAAAAAAATGTTGTAAAAGCCAATGTACGATCTTTTAGATCTACATCGTGTCTAAAAATTCATATATTCTCTATTAGTATATTTGTGAGATTCTATGTTAGAAGTTGCTATCATCAACTCTTGGACAGGTACACTTGTGGTGTTACATCTGCCCAACTGAGGAGCAGCACGCCAGCCAGCGTGAGTGATAAAACAGCAAACCCCAAATTATGATACTTTTTTCTGTCAATTGTTTTTTGGTGTATTACAGATAACTACAGGTTTACTCCACACCCTGCCTTCTGTCAAATACCAAGTTAAGATAGTCTTGATTGCAGCCAGGTAAATGGACCTTTTGATAAGCAGATTTGAGCTGTTCAAGAGGAGTGCATTTTGAGCTGTTCATCTTTCCTCTGTGTACGGGGGCTGCAATTCTGCTACCTTCCTGAGGCCACTTCACTCCTGAGTGCATGGTCTGTTCAATGGGTCATCCCTCTTGCACCTCCCCTTCCCTCAGGATATGGGCTCTGGCTTAGGGCACATCAGGAGCAAACTTCCTGCCACGGTCTAGTGGGCTGCTCTGGGAAAACTGTGAGAGAAAACCACTGGGAGTTGCTCCCTCCTGCCTCTGGATTTTCCCTGACAGGCGTCAGTATTCTTGAGTAAGCTGGAAAAAGAACACTACAGTTTTAAAATTTCAAGAAGCTGAAAAAGAGCTAGGAAGAGCTTTTGGTATGGGGACCCAAAYRGTCCRAAAGAAGGTTGTGACTGGAGTCCTCTCCTCTATTTTAAGAGTGAGTCCCAAGTGCAGTATCYAAATGTGAGGTAGTTGTCTGAGGTCACATGAAGGTCGCTAGGTCGCTATGGCCAGTAGAGTCACAGCGCTCTAAAAACTGGACTTGTCTCATAAGAAAAGAAATACTTCTGTGGTCGCATGAATCAGCCTTTGGAGTCCAGTAAGAATACTGATTGGATTTCAGCTGGCTGCAATGGAAACTCAGGCAACCAACATGGACCAAACTCTCTGGGCCAAACACTTCTCGGGGGTGGCCAGTGACAGGACAAAGAGTAAGTTGTATAAATTAAAACAAGTTCCATCTCCATATGAGGAAGAACTTCTTTACCTTGATGWTGACAGAGCCCTGGAACAGGCTGCCCAGAGGGATTTTGGAGTCAGAAATTCTGGAGAGAAGTTCAGAAATACTTAATGTCAATTTTAACCTGGAGTTGGAAAGAGTTGTAACATTTTCTTTGGCCTAAGAAGTCTCTTTTTGGTATTATTATACTCTCTACTGTGAAGTGGAGAATTAATACAACAGAAATAATTATACAAATGTTCTTCAGGCAAATATATTGTTTTTCTCTTTTTATTTAGGAATGATATGCTCTCCTCCAAGAATTCCCAATGGGAACTTTAGGCCTCAAGAAGTCTCATACATGGAAGGAGCCACAATCACCATATACTGTAATTCTGGATATCATTTTAAAGTAGTATCTGGGCAAAACACAGCTCAATGCACTAAGGCTGGCTGGGTACCTTCTCCAGAATGTGTTAGTAAGTAGCTTTCATGAGTGACGATAACAACATGCAAAATTCATGTTCACGAAATAGAACATARCCAAAGAAAAACTTAAGCACCTGTAGAATTAGAAGATGCATCAAGCTTCTTAAGACGTGTTTCTGGATAAACTCGTATTCCATTGATTAAAATCATAGCATTATAAGAATAACGATACTGGCTGGAGAGGGAAGTGGGTGTGGAAGTGGAAAATCATAAGGCAATAGAAGCTCTTATAAGGAATAACAAGGCATGAAGAGTAACCAGATAGATAAGTCCAACTGCAGATTATTTACAGGAAGACCTCAATGGCTGCAAATAAGTTTGTGTGTCTTTTCAGATGTGACATGTGAACCCCCTCCAGAAATTGCTGGTGGTAAAGTTCAAGGTGTTAGAAAGTCCAAGTACATGCCTGGGGAGAGAGCTCGGTATCAGTGCTGGCAGGGTTTTCACATGACTGGCGATTCCACTGTAGCCTGTGAGAACGGGACCTGGACGAAGAGGCCAAAATGCACAGGTAGTTTCTCCCTCTGACTTCTCTTCCTCCCTCCCTTCCTCCTTCCATTCTTCCATTCCACCTTCTCTCTGCCTGTCTCTCTCTCTTTTTATACCTAGTCTGT